CTCCAACCCAACGCAAGTATGTATCTAAGAATACTAAGAAGTTCGACTTGTTACCACTAGGAGGGCGGTATAAAACACCATAAACAAAACCGTCACTTTGTACAGTCAATATTTCATAATCATTAGTGACATGCGAAAACTCGTGAACCAGCCTACATTTTACCGAGTTTTTAGCCATCATCAAAACACCACCTCCTATTTTTGTTGGGCGATTCAAAAAGAAGGTTTCATAGCCGGGTGATCTTAGAACCTCAGATTCATCCCTGTACCATGTTTCCGTCATCATAAGAACATGAGGTTCAGAGCGTAGAGTTGAAATAAGGGCCGTTATTTGGTCTTCTTTATTTCGCGCAGATTGTGCGTTGAGGTGAAGGAAGGACAAGCCATTCTTTTTCGTGGAAAGTAATGCGCCTAATTTTTCGAGTGTCACGTAATCTTTGTCTGCCATCTTTCTTTTTAGGTAACAGTCGCTTTGGTCATTAACAGTGGCTATTCTCTCATTACTGAGAGGTCCTGCACGCTGGCGATGACGTGAACTCGGCTGTCCTCAGTTTTTCGCACCTTGATGCGACCATTGTCCACCCACAGAAACTTCCATTGCTTTTCTCTGTTTAGTGAGAGCGCTTGTGCAAACAATCTTTTGTTGTTGGGTGTGAGGTGGTCATTAACGTACACATTGGCACCTTGTGACTGAGCAAAACCGAATGACTCGGTTGTTAGACGTGCCCTGCGTGCTTTACGCAAAAATTCATCCTTCTTGACCCGAGAACAAAACCTCGCGATTATGTTCGTGTCCTTTTTTGCTGGCACGCGATGCACAGCGTCGATATCATCCTTTTTTATGGGACAGTCAATTACATCACCCATTTTCTGAAGAATGGTAGCGCAATCCTCCCCCTTTTTTAATGGCACACTTTTTATCTCAACGTTGTTAAGTCGCGAACGCTATTCCATGTCAGCCAGTTTAGCAGCCAGTTCATCATTTGATTTTTGAAGAGACTTGTTTTCGGCTGAGGTAAGCTCATGCTTCTTTTTCATTTCTTCATAAAAAGTGCTGATGGCAGAGACACTTTCACGAAGCTGTTCAATTTCGGCTCGAAGCTGTTGCACTTCGCGTGACAGCTCAGCATTTGACGGCATCATATAAACGTAACAGTGACTACAGCACAATAACCACTGGCAGCAGCAGTCGCGACAACAATAGTAGAAGCAAAAATCAGCGGTGCAATTAATGCACAACCAACCTGCGCAAAGGAAGAACGTCGCTCAGTGGACTCGACTTCCTGCTGCCACGACCGCCACTGCCAAAATGTGGCTACACGAGCACAGTGTTGAGCCTAAGTAGTGTCTCCGGTAGGTGTCCTCGCAGTCCGTGCTTGCGCAGAAAGTTCGTTCTTTGTGGCTGTAGCGACAGGGTAGTGACGTTGCTTGACCAGATATTCCAAGTAGACGGGTCGAGAAATCCAGAGAATATCCCGATAGCCCGAAGAGCCGAACCAGACAACTGTCACGATATGCACAAGTCAGCACCTGCGCAAAGGAAGAACGTCGCTCAGTGGACTCGACTTCCTGCTGCCACGACCGCCACTGCCAAAATGTGGCTACACGAGCACAGTGTTGAGCCTAAGTAGTGTCTCCGGTAGGTGTCCTCGCAGTCCGTGCTTGCGCAGAAAGTTCGTTCTTTGTGGCTGTAGCGACAGGGTAGTGACGTTGCTTGACCAGATATTCCAAGTAGACGGGTCGAGAAATCCAGAGAATATCCCGATAGCCCGAAGAGCCGAAACCAGACAACTGTCACGATATGCACAAGTCAGCACCTGCGCAAAGGAAGAACGTTGCTCAGTGGACTCGACTTCCTGCTGCCACGACCGCCACTGCCAAAATGTGGCTACACGAGCACAGTGTTGAGCCTAAGTAGTGTCTCCGGTAGGTGTCCTCGCAGTCCGTGCTTGCGCAGAAAGTTCGTTCTTTGTGGCTGTAGCGACAGGGTAGTGACGTTGCTTGACCAGATATTCCAAGTAGACGGGTCGAGAAATCCAGAGAATATCCTGATAGCCCGAAGAGCCGAACCAGACAACTGTCACGATATGCACAAGTCAGCACCTGCGCAAAGGAAGAACGTTGCTCAGTGGACTCGACTTCCTGCTGCCACGACCGCCACTGCCAAAATGTGGCTACACGAGCACAGTGTTGAGCCTAAGTAGTGTCTCCGGTAGGTGTCCTCGCAGTCCGTGCTTGCGCAGAAAGTTCGTTCTTTGTGGCTGTAGCGACAGGGTAGTGACGTTGCTTGACCAGATATTCCAAGTAGACGGGTCGAGAAATCCAGAGAATATCCTGATAGCCGAAGAGCCGAACCAGACAACTGTCACGATATGCACAAGTCAGCACCTGCGCAAAGGAAGAACGTTGCTCAGTGGACTCGACTTCCTGCTGCCACGACCGCCACTGCCAAAATGTGGCTACACGAACACAGTGTTCGCTCACTCAGACTCGCCGACGGTGCCTAGTGCCAGCGGCAAACGCTTACTTTTCGTTGCCTCTTCCGAACGCTAGGCTGAAGAGTGGTGCAGTGTGTTCGCGCGGGGTTGTACTACACCGACCCATACATCTCGAAGCCAACGCGAGTGGAGTTTGCCCTCGCTCGAGCAATCAGGCCCTGTGGTCACAGATTGTGAGAGCACGCAGCACAGTCGCGAATGACCTGTTTCCTCAGCGGCGTGTCACCATGGACTATTTTGCCCACGGAGACGTGCTCGCGGCACCCTTTGTGTTGTACTTTCGCCCGTGGCATAAATTGATTTTGCTTTCCCGCCGCCTTTTGCAGCGGGTGCTGTTCTGCGTTTTTGGTGCTGCCGCAGGCGATAAAGTGTTGTGAATCGTCTGAAAGCAGCACTGTGTACGTGCCCCACTGTGCTTGGTGCCTTGGCTGTCCGAACGCACTTGTATAGCGGCGTTAGTCACGCGAGGCGACGGTGAACGTGGCCCTGCGGCTTGCTAAGACCGAACCCACTCTAGTGACCGTACTCCTGCGGGATACGTGTACACTACAAAAGATATACGCCACAGTGCTGTTAAGCACTGTGACGTAAGCCAGAGTTACGTTACATAGCGTGACGCTCTAGACAAACTGTCTTTGCCGTTGTCTTCCTATTGTCGTTGGTGCTTGCCGCGCTGACTATTTTGGGAGCCTTGTTCTGTTGATGAGCCAGATTTTATTTATTGATTGATTGAGTTATTTTTGATACCCTACTCGCCCCGAGAAGTACTGAGTAGGGGGGGGGGGGTACACAAATCACCCTAAATGAAGCATGTAAAGAGACTACATCGACGAAGAAACAAAGAAAATCGTAAAATGAAAGGGAAGCGAACAAACACTTTGATACAATGCAGTAAAATAAAAATGAAAGAAAAACATATATATATATATATATATATATATATATATATATATATATATATATATATATATATATATATATATATATATATATATATATATATATATATATGTATACGAAAATCAAGAGAACTTAAATATGCTCTCGAAAGTTCGCAGGGACGAAGCAACCAGGACATTATTCGAAGTGAGCGCGGCGAAGTGGAAATACTGAATGACTGTGTGTGGCCGAAGGTGCGTCTCAAGCTGAAATGATAATGAAGATGATGTGATGTGCGTGAAAGAATTTCTATCGAAAGACAACTTTTTCACAAGTTGTAGTGGTGCTTATGGAAGACGCATAAAAAGGTGAGATGGCAGCAACAATCCAGCTTAGGAAGGGCATTATCGCGTTTGATTTGGGTGAACAGCGATTGTACTTTGAAGTTATGAAGTGGGCTTCACAACACTGGATGGATTTTGCTTTATTTATTAGGTACTGTTGGTTAGGAGAACAGATCGAAGAAGCGTATTCCAGATGAGGGCGCACAAAGCTTACATGGGTCTGCTGCTGAATGAAAGATGCGGAATGACGCAGATGCCAGCGGGAAAATTCCCGAGTTCTGTTAGCTTTCGCGCATACCTTCTCAATGCGACTACACCGGGAAAGATTAGAACAAAGATGAACGCCGAGATATTTGTAAGCGGCTGAACGAGGAAACAAAGCACGCAGCGCTTGGATGTGTTAGGCGTAATTTGCCAGTGGTCACACCTCCGATTATATAAATCGAAATTCTAGGGTCCCGCTATGGAGATTGCCACGGTCTCAAAGTGAACGGACAAAGTAGACACGGTCGGAGCGAACCAAGCAACAACCATTTATTTAACTGCCTCTAGATCTACGATAGTGTCATGACGAATTATTATACATCAATTGTGATGAACGCTAAAACAGTCTTACACGAAAAACACAACACTCAACAACATAACAAACACAGAAACACACACAAGGCGGCTTCGCCAACGCTTGACTCACCACGAGAGCCTACGGCAGACGACCCGCGGTGGCGTCTACCGCACACCCACCGCTAGAGACAACCGCTAACGCCAACCGCCACCCGCCAAAGAGACCCGCTTCTCTCTCATCTGCAGCCACCCGGGGTTACCACAAGGCGTCATCGCCTGCACTACCGTTTTAACCATGATGATGATGGTGGTGATACACGCCCTCGCGCACAGTGCCACCTACTGCTCAATAGTTGTTACCCCTGAATGCGGCCTCTGTGCGAAACACATGCGCCAAGAGGCTCAAACAACTCTACAGGAGCTGTTAGCACCTCCACAAGGTCCTGTTGCAAACTAACGTGCTTTTCTTGGGAGTTAATAGTCCAATACTCTACGTAGTCATCCACGAAAAGACGATATTGATAGGTCCTGTTAACGTGGAGTCAAATTAAAAGTGTTATGCAGTCATTACATTTCGTGTATTGGCCTGGTCACCTCACCTAAATAGCTAAAATATTTGTAAGGTTGTTCCTGCATTGTCGGTATGCAAGAACGTAGCGAGTGCGGCCGTTTCGACGTACATGCCGCACAACGATGCCTTGTTGCTTTTCGTTCGCAGACGGGCCAGAAACCAACGGGCGTCCGGCGACTGTCTCACGAGACTGCGCTGATGAAAGGTATTTTGGCACTGCTTCTGCGTCCGCACGTACTTGCATGCCTTCTTTATCCCCCTTGGTTGATGCAGTGAACGTGGTCAAGGCGGCGTCGTCGTCGACGGCGACGCACGGCTGCCTCTCGCCCAGCCTGGCCGCAGCACCTTCCAGGATCCGCGAGCTGCTCGAGAACGACGTCAAGTGGGACTTGGACATCATTGAACTGGAGTCGCATACGGCACGACGGTGAATTCACATATTTCCACGCCCTGCGCGTGACCCTTATTCCGTGGTTTAGTTCATATTATATCTGCCCGGCGAATCAATGGGTAACGATTTCATTGTTTTCAATAAACGTGCACGGCTAGCTCAATGCGTCGCTAAGTAGTGTAAAGTGAACAACCTGTGTGTTGTGTATCATTCCGTAGTGAAGTTGTATTCTTTGAAAATTGTGCATGCTCGTGTCTTTAATAAAGTGCGTGTAACGCACACGCAACTGGCTCCATCCGCAGCTTGTCAGTTGGTTGATTTGTGCAACATTACATTTTGCCAGTGAAGGTCAGGAAATAGTGGAAGATTTCACTCTTGCGCAATCCGAATGTTCCGGAGTGAGAGAGCGTTCTAGCCGATTCTGATGCCGGACGTACATCTAAGGTAGTATACTGGCAGGAGGTGATTCACCAACTCATTGTCCGCTATACGCGCATTTTTGAAAGCGTTATTACGCCACAAATTACGTCATTCATGATGTTTGACATATATCGAAAGGCAGGGGTAAATAAAAAGCCTTGTAGAATCGGCCACTGCAAGGCTAGGTGAGAATGCTAACAGACATGAACAAATGGGGTTCTTCGCAGGCCCCTCATCTGGCTGGGCATGTCTATCTTTGCCAAATTCAGCGTGCACACCAGCCTGGAATGCGACGACACTATCTTAAGTAACTGGCTGCAGCTCATTGAGTCACACTACCAGGACAACCCGTACCATAACTCGACGCACGCGGCTGATGTTATGCAAGCAACGGCGTACTTTCTGCTAAGGCTTAGAAGCAAGGTAGGTGGTGTTGCACGCTACCTGCCCTGCACGTCGCGTGTGCTGCTGTCAAAATGTATTCTATTGAACACTTATCTTACAGTACCACTGCATACGCGAAATGTGGATCGTAATTAGTAAGCACGGGTGCGGACAGATCCCACTATCTTCCGAGACTAATGCTGCGGGCTTGCTTTGCTGGTTATCAAGGAGCGTCTTAGTGCTGCATAAATTCTTTATTACGCTCTTGCTTTTGCTGTCCATAACCAATGAAAACGAAAGGCGGGGGGAGGAGGGATTTCTTTCTTGTTTTAATGGACACTTAGTTTAAATACTCACAGCATCGTTTAAACACCTGAACGACTAACACATCCATTACGTATCAGTTTCCGACCCTTCAAGTATATTATGAAAAATGCGTAGCTAGTACTTGCATTGCGAATGAACAGCAGAGACGGTGCGCGCGTGGTGCATCAACTGACATTAGAAGGGTGATTGTTTTAGTTTTGGCTGTACTGAAAGCCTTAGCGACAACCTGTAGCTTGCGGTCTTGAAGTCATCGAGAATCATAAGGCCACTGCCCTCCCCGCAACTTTTTCCTGCATCCCCCTTTATTGCCCACCTCCAAAGGCAAACATCAAAACATGGTGCATAACTGCCCCACCCCCTGCCTCCTAGAAGGAACTAGTCTGTCGTGGGCGCCCCCCGCCCCTCCCCACTAATAATAAAAAAAGTCCCGGAGCCATCGCCGACAAACCCTGCAGAGTCTATGCGTGGTGAGTTCACTCCGCCTCTAAACATACCTTATATTTCGTGACGGCAAACAGCTTGAGTACTGATAAGGAACCGTTTTAAGCAATTCAAAAGGTGCAGCAGTTTTGTTTGCCGGCTATTTCAGCAGAAGACGAACATCGTCTTTAAAACGACAAACTGCCCCTATCTATTGCAATGAACAGTTCTTCGCTAAACTTTCATTAGTGTTAGGGGCATAATACGTAATCAAGTTTTTTTTTTTATTGGGCCATGAAACACTTTTGAAGCATGGCTAGAAAACGCTGCCGATCGGCAATTGATGCTCCTCAGCGCAGGAATGTGTGTGTGAGAGAGAGAGAAAGGTAGAGGAAAGACAGGGAGGCTAACAAGGACGAACTCTGGTTGGCTACCCTGCGTAGAAGAAAGGAAGCCTCGTTGTGGAAAGATGGTTGCGGGGGTGACTTTATTGCCTAGAGCACAGTTACGTTACAACGCGTCCACCGCTGTCCGTTCAAATCAGTCTAGGACGAGACACGCACTGCTCGCTTCACGCACTAGTCGCATTATTATTTTTTGTTTTAATTACTATATTCTAAATTTCTGTGTTAATTATATCTTATATATTTCTTAAGAAAAAAGTGTGTACTCCTGTAATGAATTGAATCGATGATTGTTTGGAAAAAAGTTGCAGGGCGCGTTCGAAACTTCCATTTAATATCTGATAGTTGTTCAGCACACTCGGCTAAATGTTTTTAATGGTTGTCTTTAGATTTATGCGCATTAAGTGGTAACGGAAAGCCTGTACATGTATTTTAAAACTATTTCATGAATGCTGTAGGACATACTGGACCCGCTGGATGAAGCAATCTGCCTCCTGTCTGCAGTCATTCACGACGTAGACCATCCTGGAAGGTCAACTCCGTTCCTCTGCAACTCTCAGGACCTGCTAGCGATTCTCTACAACGATCGGTGCGTGCTGAAGGCCAACGAGTCTGACCTCAATAATAAACAGAAGCTTCTATACCGCGCAGCCACTTTAACAAAGTTTGTCGTGCGAGTGCGTCGGGACTACTCTATCTATACGGTGCGCTAAGACGGCTTTCATCTATATCAGTAGTATATTCTGTGGTAGACATAACATGGTAATTGTACGTTATTGGTTAGCGTAATACTATAGTATACGTAGTACAGCTCATGGACTTAAACAGGTCATGAAACCTTTTAGTATCACAATATATATGCGAAATCACTCGACATAACCACGTAATGTCCTAACAACCGTCGTCTCTATGGATAATGTCGCATGTGGCCTTTGCGTTAGACTTGCAATTAAGCCGATATGACCCGAATTTGAGATGGTGGAAACGAAGGTATAGGCGTTACCTAGCCCTGGCTTATCCTGTTTCAATCCGTGATTACAGTACATAGGACTTGCCAGAACTGCAATAACAAGGAAATGGAGAATGATCAGAAAAGTACACGTCTGCTGCACTTTGCAAATTGGCTGTTTGCCCACTGTTTGGCCGTTTGCGTTTATGTACTGTACATAAGAGCCGCGCGCACGCATTTTACAGTGCATAGATGCACTCACGACAGATATGATCGTTTTGGGCGTTGCTCGTAGTTCCTTATATCATCCCTTGCAGTTTACCGCAGTACGCGAGCGTAACTCAACAGAATACAGCAGCGCGTTGAGACAGTCGTATTTGAAAACACAGGTGAATATCAACAAGGTACCCAGCAAGAACGAAGGATACCTGCAATTCGATGCCGGCTAGAGCTCTACGGCACGACAATTGCTGCCTATTACAGCGGTAGGCGGCGTCGACGTACTGAGGCGCTTGTAGCAACGTCGCGCTGCGTATACGCTTTCCCAGCCCAAAACTCGCCACCCTTCGAGGGAGGATCTCTGTCATGCTGAGCTGGCTGTGCTCGAAGCATAGGCGTCTCTCCCGGCAGCGCAATGGCGGAACTGGCCCCTCCACTGAGAAATGTAAGGGGGGCTCTAAGTCACGAGGTCGACGGGCATCCGGCCAATAACCAGGAAGGCCCATGCGTCGGTACAAACAGTGGTGGTACAGGTGACCTGGTTCACCACAATGGCAGAAAAGAGGCTCGTTGTCAGGAGCGCACCACAAACTGAACTTCCACACATTGACTCGCGGGGTACCGAAACGCGATAGGAGTGAGAAGTACTGTATCGCCCGCAGAGTGGATGGGCGGGAGGAATAGCTGGCCACAGACGCAGGAGTGCGTACAGCTCCCACGTACGTACGTGAGAGCTTCGGCTGGCGGCGTCACCAATGGTTGTACCAGCTGCCGTATCTCGTCGCAGACTACATCAGTTAGAGCAGCTACCTGGAGCCGGGGAAACACCGCGAGAAGTTTTTGTAGCTCCTTGCGTACAAAAAGCAGCAACTAAGCGGCCTTTTCCCTTCTCCGCAGCCACGTTCTTGGTTATACATGTCTGAAATAAATATTCAATTCAATTTAGTGCTGCGCATAAGCACCGTGTGGTTCTCACAGTTGTGACGTCGAGTGTTGACGTGGATGACGACAAGCAGACGACGTTGTTCGGTCGCTCATACTGCGAATACGGCTGACTTAGCATTCACTTCATTGTTGTAGCTTGTACCAAGTGGGTTGCCACGATTCATACAAACAGCTGTTCTTTTACGCTCCGCATCAAGAAGAGTACCTTCTCTTCCGCCATTTCGGGGTCAGATCGCTGCAACAGCCGAGACATCTCCTCAAAGAATATCGCAACGCTTTCGTTGGGTCTTTGATTCCTAGAATCGAGGAAACGCTCTGCTTGTTCTTTTCGGTCGGGACTTCCGTACGTGTTCTGCAGCTCAGTACAGAACTCCAGCCATGTTGTCGAGACAGCTTCATGGCTCTCATACCAAGTGCGTAGCGAGTCCTCGAGGTAGAAGTAGACGTGCCCGAGCTTCCGACGGCCATCCCATTCATTGGCGATGACGACTCACTCGTACTGGTCCAGTCGGTCTTCAACGTTCTTAAAAGCGTCACTACGAAAAGGCTTTGGGGTTCGAAGGGCGTTGATAGGCCATGGCGCAGACAGTGTCGGGGTCTGCGGATTTTGGGTGGCTGTTCTTGCTCTTGACTTGTTACTGGAGCGTTCTGGAAGGGGACCTAACTGAGGCCGTAGGCCTAATTGCAACTTACTAGGCTGAAGGTAACCTTGGTCTTCGAAGGCGTCGCTATGTATTTTGGGATGCTCTTTGCGTTGGTCACAGTTCATGGGATGATACCCCGCACCTCCACGAGAAAACGTCACGTTAGAATGTGGCAGAAACCTGCTGCTGAAGGTCAGCAGAACCTCAAGCTGATCCAAGGACTGGCAAAGCAAACTCACCACCTTGTTTGCGCGTGCTAATCTTTATCGTCATTTTCCAAAGTGGCACATACAATTCCGCCCGCAACGGAACCATGGAATACAAGCTATTATGCTCCTGGCAATATCTTTACGGCTATCGATTTACCGCAATTACAAACCACCGCTCTTTGCACTGGTTGTCATCACTAAAGAATTAGTCCGGACGCTTGGGACGCTGGGTTCTCCGGCTGCAAGAGTACACATTTGAAGTTGCTTTCAAATCTGGGAAAAAACACCAAGATGCTAACGCCCTATCTCGTTTTTCTTTCCCACTGTCATCTTCTCTGAATAGGCATTTTCATTTAGTGCCCAGTGACGAGGCTCAGAATCCACCTACGCTATCAGAACTGTCGGTTGCTGGCCTGCTGTCTTCGACTTTTTACACTAAGTTGGCCTCCTGTCATTAGCAAATGCCAAAATCTGTACTGCCAACCCACTGTTCAACGCCTCTGTGGAAAGTTTCCACCACCTAAAGCCAGGTTGCGCCATGACTTAGAAGTTCAAACTTGAAAACGACATGCTAAATCCGTATGTTTGCACTGAAGATGGACATCGGTGGCTTACCGTCCTTCAACGTTCGCTTAGTGAGCAAGTACTACAGGCCTTTCGCGACGATTCCTCTGCTTGCCACTTGGAAGTTATAAAGCATGCAACTGCGTCAAGAGCCGCTTCTTCAGGTCCTTGGCCTCTTTACTTCCGTCGCCAAGTACGCGTCTCTTCGCGCGGACTGCGTAAACGGCGCAAGAGGGCGACTTCACTTCCTGCTAGCTTGTTGAAATCGGTGCCACGTCCCGAAAAACCTTTGGTATTGTTGGAATGAACCTAGTCAGACTTTTTCCCAAAATGGCGGCAGGGTATCACTGGATCGTGACAGCGGCTAACCATCTCACACGATAAGCAGAGACCACTCCTCTGCGTTCAAGCTCTGCCTCAGACGTGGCCGGCTTCTTCCTCGAAGGCGTTGTCTTATTGCGTCATGGTACACCCTGCATCCTAGTTGGCAATCATGGCAAGACATTTCTGTCCACAGTTAAAGTACTTAAAGCTTCTGGCACAGTTCATAGGTAGCATACCACCCTAAAATCAATAGAATTCTACAAGCATTCCACTGCACACTCACTGACATGATATGCACGTACCTATATTGGACCAGCTCATGACAACTGGGACACCACCTTGCCTTTCGTGACGTTTGCTCATAATACCGTGGTCGAACGCATTACTAGCTATTCACCATTATACCTAGTTTATGGTCATTCGGCGACATTCGCGATCGACGCTTCGTTCTTCCGAACTTCGACCGTCAGTTCTACGACTACACCCAAGCAGTTTGTCTCAAGATTTAAAGTGGTGGCAACTTGGTCGGCTCAGTACAGAAGCTAATCAGCACGATCGCAAACAGCGCTACGACAGCTCCCATCGTGATGTCTCTTCTAATCCCGCAGAGATGAAGTGCTCCTTTAGACGCCTACTCGTGTTACCTATTGTGCGATAAGTGTCAGTCGCGATTTCTTGCACTCTGCATATTTATTGAACAGACATCTGTTGTAAACTATCCTGTCAGCCCCCTTAATTGAGGCTTCTTCCGATCGTCGTTGCCATGTTTCTGAGATAGCCCACGTTTCACGGCTGAAGCGCTTCGTTCGACGTCTCTACCCAGTCTAGATCGCGTTGAGGCAGGCGGCTTCGGCACGTGGAAAAATTAGCGTGAGCATTATTCGTACACTTCATCTTATCGCATGCAGTTAATCGTCATTACCGTCCACTTGGGTTTGGGTAGCGGGGCTCAGGATCGGGTGTGATTAAAAAGTGGCTTGCTGCCTGAATAAAGTTTTGTAAAGGTGCATCTATGTGTGTGTGTGTGTGTGTGTGTGTGTGTGTGTGTGTGTGTGTGTGTGTGTGTGTGTGTGTGCGTGTGCGTGTGCGCGCGTGCGTGCGTGCGTGCGTGCGTGTGTGTGTGTGTGTGTGTGTGTGCGTGCGTGCGTGGTGTGTGTGTGTGTGCATGTGTGTGTGTGTGTGTGTACGAGCTTACAAGGAACATTATCACAGCGGCAATGTTGGTAAAATTTCACTATGTTGTAACATAGCCTTGTAAATATTTCATTCTTCCATAAGCGCATGATTGGGTGGTTACTCTTGTGATGGAAAACTACGCCTTACTTGTTGGTTTCCCCAGCCCGAAGCCAAGGGTGACCATTGTCGAAAGTGGGGGGGGGGGGTCTCAGCCCCCTCAAGTTTTCTCAATAGGAGGTCTCGCGCCCCCCTTCCCCCTCAGCCCGGCTGATACGCCTATGAACTGCGAAATGCAAAAAGAATACCACGTGACAAGCTGACTCGCCTGCCAGAGCGCACGATGATACTGGTGCTTCCTAACGTTCCACCTACAAATTACCGGAGCATTTGCTTAATTGTGTTGTCTCGACAGGACCGCGACGATGGTGGTGGCTTTGCGATGAACATGCTCTGCTATCAGCCACAAGAATGATAACCACTGTAACTGCTTATTGCTGTCATTAACTGGTGCGATGGAAGCGTATCGTTCGTTTTCAGAACGTTGGGGAGCACTAGAATC